AGGTCAGAAGCAGAAGAAGAAGAAGAAGAAGAAGAAGAAGAAGAAGAAGATGAACAAGTTGTAGGGATATTTCCTACAACTTCAGATTCATACAGATTGTACATTTCAAATAATAAATTATTAATTTCTTCTTTTTTATTTCCTATATCAATATTCATATTTTCATAATGTGTTTCAAGTAAAATATCTAAACCATCTTTCCTAATCCTAGGGTCTAATATTGTAGCTAAACAATAAAAGGGAGAAATGTTCTCCCAATATTTGTTAAATTTATTTTCCATAATTTCAACAATACATTAAAATTGTGGATTATTTCTATATTTAGCAAAACAATCACTAATTATCATTAATTGATATGGTAAATTACAACTAGTTGGATAATAAATTCTAGATAATTCATTTGTTGCATCATAAAAATGTTTTAAAAATCTCTTATACAGACTGCAATTTCCCGGTCTTCCTCAAATATCATATCATTAGGCATTTTTGAATTATAAAAATCATAAAGAATTTGTTTATGAGATATAAAACTTTCTAACATAGCATAGGTAGAATTCCACCTATGCTTTACATCTAATATAAAATGTTTATATTTTAAACCATAATTTTAGCATAAACATTTAAATTCTTGTTTTCTTGCCCCTGAACTTTTTATATATATAATACAATTCTAATTTTTTAAATATAAGTAGAAATAATATTCAAGGCATCTTGAATACATAAATTTAAGATGTGACATGCACATTTAATGTGAAATAATTTACCATTTAAGCATGGTTTTAATTGAGATTTTAAAATATTTATTGCAGAATCATTATTGTTGGCATTATCAAAGCGTGCAAAGTATTTAAATTACTTGCAGCAATAGCTGGGCCACTATGTGGCCATTCAATCCTAGTAAAACTTAAAATTCTTTTATTCAAAAGCCAATTTTCATCAATGAAATGGTTGGTAACACAAATATAACTAATATTAAATTTGGATGTCCAAATATCTAAAGTAATTGCAACTTTATAATTAAGATTTACTAACAAAGAAATTAAATTTTGTGTATATGAATAAAAATTTTTAAAGCATAAGTTCTTATAGTATTCCTAGAAACTTTTTTATATTGTGGGTTTATAGAACTATGCAACCATTTTTCTAGCTTTGGATCTTTAGCTAATATAAATGATTGTTCTGCATGTATAATATACTTAGCAAGTTATTGTCTCATTTTTTCTTGTGAATATCTAAAAGTACCAAAACTAGTCCCCCTCCCAATCTATGTTTGGGTTGTTTCTCTCCATTCATCTTCCTCTCGCTCATGTGTGAGTAGATGTCTGCTCAAATGACCCATACCACCCTTGTTACAATAACTAACGTCTTTCCTACATTTTTGGCAAACGACTATTTTCCCCTTCCCCTCAATATCCTCTACTTTGAAAACTTTCTAAACTGGGCTACTTAGCTTATAAGCCCTCCTTTTTCCCCTAATATCACCACTACCAGGGGTGAAAGTTCCACTTCCATTGACATCAATCGCATAAGTGCTAACACTATTGTGATGCAATTGAATGTCATCCATGGTGAACATGTTGGGGAATCGGTTTTGAGAAGAGCCGGTCATTTTTTTTAATTCTAAAAATATAAAAATTAATCTAATTCGACTTACTCAGATTGCTGGTTCAAAATGCCAACTTGATCTCAATGGTTGAAGCCTTTCAACGTCCAAGCCTCCCGAATTGAGATACTTGAGCTGGTTGAGCAAGCCTTATTCTTGTTGAAAGTTGAAACGTCGATAAAGTTGAGACTTGAGAATTGGAGAATGCAGAATCAAACAATCAGCTAATCAGAATTTCTTAGATTGCAGATAATTGAGAATGTATGAGTATGAGAGAGAGGGGGGGGGAGAAGAGAAGAGATTAAGAGAATTGTTGAATTGGTATGATGAGAATGATGGAGGATAGGGCTATTTATAGGAATTGAACATAATTCAATTGCCCAAAATACCCAAAAAACTATTTTTTATTTAGTTGTTGGGAGGGGTATTTTGGTCATTGTAAAGTTACTTATAACTTTACCCAAAATCCCCCCTAAACTAGTTGTCATATAGCTGTTGGGGGGTATTTCTATAAAAAAAAACCCCCAAAAGCTGAAACTAGCTGTTGGGCCCCTTTGGGAGGGGGGCCCAATGGCTATATTTCCAAGTGAGCCGAGTGCGGCCCACTGCGGGCCTGGCGGGCCGTGTCGGGCTGGCCTGTGGCGAGCCATGCTTCGTGCCATGCCGCGGGTTGGGTCGTGCCGGCACGTAGGCCGCAAGCGGCACGACACGTGTTGTCATGCCGTGTCATGCTGGCCCATGGGCCTCAAACCCCTAGCCCAGCATGGCACGAACCTCTGTGTCGGGCCTGTCACGACCCGTGGGTCTTCGTGCCGGGCCTGACACGGCCCGTGGGTCTTCGTGCTGGGCCGGTCCAACACCTCTAGCGAGAGAGAGAGAGAGAGAGAGAGAGAGAAAGTGAGTTAAATGTGTATTAATGAGGAGTATTAAAACTCTTAAAAGTGATTAGTCACTTGAGTTGTTTTGTTCAATTTTAAAATTAAAAAATTCAAAATAACTAGAAAAAGAAAGGTGCCTTTGAGAATAACCAGGAAAATAAACACAAGTGACAGAATAAATCATAAAACAAGAAAGTGTTAGCTTGGCACATTCCATTTTAATGTATAGATATAGATTATTAATCAAACAAATCCCTAATCTAAAATTGTAATAGTGCTGATGTGGACCATAGGGTTGAAAATATAGCCAATCCAAAGGCCAAGGATCGTCCATCCATCCGATGAATGGTTTGGATTAACTACAACTTCTCCATCCCCACGTGGTTAAAATAGTGTATATTGTGTAGAAAAGCTCACTACTTGATACATGATTAGGGAACTCTTTCCACTGCCACTGGTTAGTGCAATCATATAAGGGCCCATTTGGTCAGGTTTATAGTCGGAATGGTCTATTCTTATATTCTGCTTCAAACAAGAATCAGAATGGGATTTCATTTCCAAGGGAAAGGAGATGTCATTCCACCAAGAATGAAAATAGGATTTTAATACCGCCCAACCAAACAGTTGGAATTGAAATGGTCAATTCTGATTCCGATTCTAGACCTTTAATCTCACAAACCAAGCAGCCCTAAAATTTAATTGAGATTTTTGAATTAATTATTACTAATGAGATCATCCATAATTGAGACTTCAGAGCCCAATATGTTGTTTGCTCCTTACTCCTTTACTTGGAGTAATGATCAAACTTCTCCACATTAAACAAAGTATCATTTATCTCTAACTTCCCACCTACTGGCCAGTGAGGCCAAAAGACAGAGAGAGAGAGAGAGAGTGAATGACCATCTGCTGCCAACGCCCAACTCGATTGAACAAACGACATCAAACACCCCCAAACCAAATAATGGCCCATAGTATCCATTTCATTCAACTTTAGGAAGACCATTTCAAGGTTATTATAACTTATAAGCCATTGCTTAGGCCAATGATAGAACCCCATTCAGGCCCATTGAAGTGCTTTTACAGGCTGTACTGGTCCGTTTTTTAATGAATGGCCTAGTTTCTGGCTGATTACACGTTAATTTTGAGATGATCACCTGGCATCATACGCAGCAGCAAGAAAGAAGAAGAAGACTATTTCTTTCTCCATGGTTGTGTTTTTTATAGGCAATAATTGATTGGATCTGCATCGCATGAGATTCACTTCAGAACTTCAATGAATGACAGGGGAGATGTTCCCAATGTGAGGCTTCAGTGGCATGTTGGAATAGGTTCGTAGCATTCTGTTGGTAGCAAGCATTTCCATTAGTAAATTCATGATAATGTCCATGCCTTTGATGGGGTGTGATAATATATATGATCACCCTATTTTTGAAGACTTTTAGGGCCTATTTGGTTTACGGGAATAAGGGTCTGGAATTGGAATCGAAATGGTTCCAATTCCAACTGTTTGGTTGGGTGGAATTGGAATCTCCTTCACATTCCTAGCGAAATGGGATTCTCCTTTTTGAGGAAAATGGTCATTCCCTCTTCTCCCTTGGGAATGAAATCCCATTCCAACTTATTTCAATTCTCATTCTGATTTCTGTCTGAACCAAATAAAGTATGGGAACAGATCATTCTAATTCCGGTACTGAAAGATTTTGATTCCAACTCTGATTTCAGTTCTAACTGCAAATCAAAGGGACCCTTAAATTTTTTTATGATAATATTGGATAAACATCATGCAGATATTTCTTTTGAGCAAATTGATGAACACTTGACACTCTACATGTACAATTTTGGGAAAAGCCCCAGCCATACCGTGTCCGTGTGTGATTTGTGATGTATTCCTTCCAAACCGTTTTCTTAGGCTTACGTAGAGAGAAACAAGAAGGCTGAGAAAAACTTGTACAAATTTTGTAAAACTCCAGACTTTCCCTCAACTTTCTCTATCTCTTATTTTCTGTCAACCCAACACAGGAAAGAGCTAAAGATGCAGCACCATGGACTAAAGTTAATCTGTTAAAAAGAAAAAGCCTTGGTTTTAAGAAATTGAAACAAAAGAGACCTCCATAACCACGCTGTGATATAAGTAGAACCCACGATAAGATAAAGAAATTCAATTTGGGGCGCATTCAGTTGGGCAATACTTGTCTCCTACCACGTTAGAGGAGCATGCGTCCTACCACCTCCAGATTTTAGATCTAAACCTTTAAATTCCTAAAGCTTAAACCCTAAAATCTAAACTCTAAAACCCTAATCCCTTTAATCCTAAGACCTAATCTTGAATCTTAAATCCTAAAATCTTAAAAACTATACTCTAAATCCTAAGCCCTTAAATCCTAAAATCTAAATTCCAAATCTTTATAATCCTAAACCATAAACCCTAAAACCTAAAATTAATGTGTAAACTGGCTATGATAGGACGCATGTAGTCCAAGGTGGTAGGAGCCAAGTATTTCAGCATTCAATTAGAGATATTGGACTCTAATTTACAATCTTGTTATTAGCCCGTATTACAAATTTACAATCTTATGGCTATGTTATTAGCCCGTATTACAAATTTACAATCTTGTTTCTCTAGCAGATCTGGACTGTTCGGCTGTTTATCATCAAAATGCTTAGCTATAAGACTGTGGGTAACCAAACTCTGGAATGACAAAACAAATTAAGCATGAAAATACTTCTGATTTTCAGTGACATTGAGTAGGGTAGTAGTAGAGTCGGAGAAGAAGAGAAAGGGACTAAACGTTTCTTTTTTCATCACTGATTGCCTGGACGGAATTTATGTATCCATTTTCATGCATATTTTAAAGCTTCTTTCAGTTTCATTTGATGATGACAACCACTCCATCTCAAGTCTCAAATGGGGCAGCTTACTTCATTACCTACCCACCAACGAAAACTCACGTCTCCCTTTGAACAAGGAAAGTCCTGAGTCCTGACAGTGGAACTGTGGCATGGTAATTAAATAGTACACAGAATATATCGTCAATCCAAAATGTTTTGTCAGATGGACTACACGAGAGAAACTCACCTTTCATGGACAACCGCCATTGATGATGCTACCTCAGCTCAGTTGCAAGAAGAAGGCATGAATTCATGATGTGTTCCATCCTCTGCACACCGGCCCGTGGCCAGAAAGCTGCTCCAGTGTGCAAGAGATGGAATATATCATAAACCCACGATCAGAAACAATATTTGTAATTCTCTCAACTCTGAAGTCTGAACCCACTACGGCCCCCTCTCAAGTCTCAACCTTGTTTGTTTTCCGGGCTTGAAGATGCTTAAGAGTCGAGCAATTTATAGATGCAATGGACTTGACTTAACTACTTTGACAAAGCCGAAGCCATTTTCTGGAGGTGATGAAATGAACTGAGAAGTGGTGTGGTGTCCCATTTGAGAGTTTGAATCGACTACTGTTGATTCTTTCTTTATTACTCCTATTCCCATGATTAATTAGAACACAAAAAGTTAGTATTAGCATCTTGATCATGTCTTTCTTTTCCATCTGATTGATTGAAGGAACCACGGGATGGAATATTGGAGTACATGGGATAAGTGAAAATGCTTCATGACGTGGAAATCACCGACGATACCTGCACCCGACACCTAATGAGCTGCAGCTGATGTGGGTCTCTCTCTTTCTGTCATTTTGAGATCTGAGTCTTCGGAGTTGGAGCGACCCATTGGTTCTCTTGGCTTCTCTACTCTATAAAGAGGGACTGTTGATTATTCTCCTCCGATTTAATGCCTGTTTGCCGTTTTTATGAAGTGATGAAAAAGTTAGAACTTTTTTGCACTTGGAAGGTCTCTCTGCTTTTCGTCTCGACCTCTTTATTTTTTGTTTCGTCATCTGAGAAATCTCGATCTATTGCTTGTGTCTTTAAAAAAGCAAAAGCTGGTCTGCGTCTCTGATTTTGTTGTCCGTGAATTATTGATGTGGCCGCGCTGCCCATCTATGTCCAGCTGAAACTCTTTCCTTGGCCGGTTTTAATGAACGAAGACATCACTAGTCATCTCAAAAGTTTTTTTTCTCTTTTAAAAGGGAATCTCTGCTCGATGGCCGATGGGAATCCGTGGTCCCAATAAATCATGCCTTCATGGGTTGGCTTGTTGGGTGAATGAGTTCAACCCTGCCCCAATCCGATGTGCTAAAACCTCAACCCCAAGTCCCTAACCTATCTGATCTTCAACCCATGGTTTTCCAATCTTTTATCCCAATCCAGCCATAATATCAATGAGTTCAAATCTGTCCCCCACAACGTCCCACGGCACTTCTCTGCCGTGTATTAGGAACATCTTCCGATGGTGACATCATCATTTTTGGAATTACCATCGGGAGATATTCCCAATACACGACCGAGATGTGCTGTGGGACATTGTGGGGGGCTGATTTGGTTTCAATATCAATTTAGATTTGGGTTCACCAAATTTACAAACATGCGCATAAAATAGATTGTTCACCTCTCATCGTTCACATATACACATACACATATACTTGTATATGTAGAAATCAATATATGTATCATACACCTGATACGTCGGTAGAGGCGTATTGATAGTTTTTTTTTCAAATCCGGTTCAGAGGGGCCGGTTTAAGGTCCGTTCACCTCCTGAACCGATCAAAACCCTGCTACACCCACTGTATGGCTATCAGGAAGCTCCTGATACGATATCGGCCGATACGTATCGATACTTTGAACCTAGTCACACATAAGGATGGCAATTTCTATCCTATCCGGCAGTACCTGCCCCAACAAGTAATGGGGCTGGTTATTTTGCTTAAAAACAGATTTTGGGGTAGGTGCAGGTTTTGGGATTTTACAATTTGTACATATACAAGTAGGATATGATATTAGGTTAAACCCGACTCTTCCCAACCCACATATTTTTAGAAGGTATGTAAGCTAATGCATTAGGTGTTGAATTTTAATGCTTGTTTACTTGTTTCTTACTTATATATAAAAGGAAATAATAAAAAAAAATATGTGGGTTCTAGACCCAACCCAACCCACCCCACCCTCAAATTTAAGGAGGATAGGCTTGGGGAAGGTTTTGCATTTTCATGCATGGGGAGCATTTGGATTTTGAAAAAATCCAACCTGTTATGGGTTTTGGGGAGAGTACAGGTTGGGAGGTCTAGGGAGATGGGTAAGGTCTATAATTTACAAAACCCTTCTTGGACCCACCCCATTGCCATCCCTAATAATACATAATTTAAAAGAAAATATAATCACAAATATAATGCATTAAGTTTGGATTAGGCCTAAATACCCAAAACATTTTCCAATCATAACCTTAATCCAATTGTTGAGTTGGGTTCAATTCGGTTCAATCCAAGATGCACCACTATTAAACAGTGAGACGGAGGAAAACTTAAGCTCAGATCTTCTATCCACATGACATATCACATCAAAAACATCTCCTATACTTGTATTATGTTATCATGGCTCAGATCTTCTATCCACATGACATATCCGCTGCTGCCCCTTAGCTTAGGTTTGATAATATCTTAATTAAGGGGCAAACATGGGTTGGGATGTGTTGAGCATTAGTGAAACTAGGACTGGATTTGAGCCCCAAGTAGTTGAAATTCTTTAAATTTGGAAACACTGTTGGCACCCTAATTTTAATAAACAAGTAAGATCAGGTTGATTTTGATTTGTTGAAAGACTACCGAGTATTGAGTCTATTGACAATTGAATCCCCTCAACCTGATAAAGTCATTAGCTAGCGATGAATTTCTGAGGAGCAGTCAAAGTTCAAAGTATCGACATGTATCGACCTGTATTGGTTGATACGTATTGTTCTGTGACTTTCCCAATACACCCCTACAGTGGGTGTATCGGGGTTCTGACTGGTTCAGGGGCTAGAGGAGCCTTAAACTGGCTCCCCTGAACCGATTTAAAAAAAAAAAACCAGTATCGATATCTATATTTTGAACCTTGGGAGCAGTACTCAACCGGCAAGGAGGAACAAGTTCAGAGTTGAAACACTTAGACAACGCATCCCGAGGGCATATAAAGAAAGTACCAATTCTAAAGCAATTAAGGGCGCTAGCAGTATGAATCAAAACCGTGGATTCTTGCTTTGCCGGAATAGCAAGAAAACAGACATGCTACCATCCAATAACTTCTGCATGTTACCCACATATTTTGTTCAGGACCCACTGTTGACATATAAAAATAAAAAATAAAAATCCAGATTGGTCTTTTATTTATTTGATATTTGATTATTATATTTGGTTCCCAGAATCGGAATGGTCCATTCCCATAGCCCCTTTGATTCAGATTGGTATGGGAATAGAAATTGTAATAAGCAGGAATGGGATTTCATTCCCAAGGGAGAGGCAGGGAATGGTCATTCCCTCTAATGGAGGAATGCCACTCCAGCAGGAATGGGAATGGTATTCCGATTCTGCCTAACCAAACAGTTGGAATCGGAATAGCCCATTCCAATTCCGATTCCAGACCCCTATTCCCTCGAACCAAACAGGGTGTTATTTTCCAAGTTACATGTTCCACAAAACCTGATTCGAATGTCACCTAAAACAGAATAAAAGAAAAAAAAAGAAAACAGAGATAAAAGAAATAAACAAAAAGAACACTCAGATTTACGTGATTCAACTTATAGTCTATGTCCATGGACGACGAGGAACAGAAAATCACTAGAATCAACAATGGTGAAAAATACAGAACTGTGCACAACACCTTACAAGGGTAGGTGGGTGTACAATGAAAAATTGTCGTGTATGAGAACTATGTAAATGAACCATTTAGCTGAATAATTCCTTATTAACTGTAGTAGGCTGGCACAGGTAAAGCAAGAGTGCGCCTACCTCAGCAAGTTTTTTGGCCATTCCGAATTGTTGCCTAGAGGTAGTAGACCTCTCTTCCTAAACCTGCCATGTCTTTGAAACCTTGTTCAACAAATTTTCTGTCTATTCAAACACCCAAATGCAGTCGAACTCTTACAATTTGATGCCTTGTTACAAACAAACTCAACAAGAACAACACCCTCCAACAGAGCATCAGAAAATCATTTAATAAATAGTGGAAACCAAATTCATTTGAATTTCACATTCATCAAACCAGTATAGCAGGAAAAATATTTGTAATTACATACACTAAGGCATGTCTCTAGTGAAATTTGAAACAAGAATATGTATTTAACAACTAACCAAGTCATGGGACAATATGATCTCCCACATACAACTCGACAGGACAAGCAGAGATCCCATTCCTTGGATAATATTATGTGAAACACCTCAGTTGGGCTTAAAGAACTTGAGCTTAAGTCCACTGTTTACCATACTCCAAACACCCCCAATAGAGAAAGCCAAGCTGAAAGCAATCCCTAACCACCCAAGTATCCAATTGAAATACCAATTAAAGCTGAACTTTTTAGGTTTCTTTATGAGAACCCACATGAAGCAAGGGTAAGCAAAGGTAACTGGAAGAGTAAGGCCTCCCAATAGACCGGCAAGACTGGAGAGAAAAGGGAGTGCCACCCCAATGAAGAAAGAGATGAATCCATAGAAGACACGAAAGCCAGAGCGGACCCATATTGAGCAAGGGCGGTTGGTACGACTTGTGTACCCTGCTTCAAAACTGTCAAAAACAGGCATTGAGTATATCTGGAAGCTACTCAGGCAATTGAACACAACCAAGAGGAAAGTTGTAGCAAGAAGCCCTCGTGGTATGTCATGATTGTGAAATGCATACAAGGCACCAAGAATCCCTCCCGAAGGCATCTACAATGAAAAAGAAATCCAAAAGAAGATTAAATTTAGTACCAACCACATGGGCATAAGCCAGAAACAACATCTATATGCTCCTACAGATATCACATGAATACTTACAAATGAAAACACATTTATGAATTTATGGTATAGACAAATTAGTTCCACTCGAGACACAATGCCCATATACTTGCACTAATGAATACATGTAGACAGCACCCATGAACAGATCCATGCATGGCACTGAAGCTGTCTCGAGTAGTGCAGCTGTGCCTGGATACCATGTCTCTATGAACAGTTGCATTGGTTTAACTAGTATACAAGCAGACATGGCTGTACGCATGCACTCTGGTATGTGAAAACTAGGAAGACTATAAAGAGTTGGCAAAGCCATAGCTTGTGATAGAGGTAAAGGAAGGTAATATAACCATATACGAATAAATATTGTTACTGTAAGTGTACTTACAAGATTCCCATAAGCCCAAAATCCTCCAATTGCAACAGGAAACAAGCACATGGCAATGAAGAAATAGGCAACCTTAGCTCCCCTCCACATAGGCACATGGGCCGGGTGTTTAAATGTTGATGGCATTGTCGCCTGGAACATCAAATCAACTCTTTAGAAGTTAAAATATCTGAAGGGTGGTTATGTGAACTCTGGAACTCTGAAGCTTTTTCCCGGAGAGTAATTAAAAAAAAATTATTACGCCACAATGCTATAGATGAAATTTTGATTTATAGCTCATATACCTGAATCTCCATTGCAAGATTGTGACCCCTGAAAGCAAAAGCTACAATTCCAAGAGCATTCATGATTGAAAAGACCGAGGCAGAGAATGAAGGAGATGAAAGGGGCTGATATGAAATTGTGGGTGGCCTTGGTTGACTAACAGACAGGACCCACACCATAGTAGAGTAAGTAATGGCTGTGACTGCCCCTATGAGAGAAAGTCCAGCAATTGAGTTCAGGTTTGGCAGCTGAGATAAAACAATGCATAGAGAAGTGAACACCAGGTACCACTCTACAGTTGATAGAGGATTTGATGAACAGAAGGGCCCACAAACTATCTGGAAGAAAAGCTTCATGGTCTCCCCTCCTATGAGAATCAAGGCTGTTGCAGTCCCTGCTGATAGGTAAACTGTTGGGAAAAGAGCAAGCCACACACCTAATCTTTCCCCTGAGCAAGAAAGAAAAAAATGCAGCAAAGTTATTGTCAGCAAAATAAGCCATGCCAGTTCATTGTTTTCATAAAAGCTGTTGTCATAATTTGTAACAATGACACACTAAAGATAGGGTTGGTACCCATTATGTTTTAATGTTAATATGGGAAGTTATAGAAATTTATCATCATTATGCTGGCGGTCACACTTATGTCTTGACTCATATAAATGCCCTTGTAATAATGAGCAGTATGAATACCTATTCAATAATGAATTACCAAAATTAAAAGATTTCTTTAACCCCTTGTTTTTGGTGAAGTGTACAATCCAAAGCTGTGATCAATCAACAAAAGAAAACAGGACACTATCATAACATCACATGTATCATTAGCTTCTCTTCTTTTTTTTTTTTTTTTTTTGAAAACCACACAACCTATTAACTTCTAAGAACATGTTTATGGGCACTTCTTTGCATTGTTTAGTGTAATGTGTAAAATCAGTTGATTTATATCAGCCAAGACACTAAGGCTGTGTTTGATTTGATAGAAAATAAGAGAGTAACAGAAAGTTGAGGTAAAGTTCTTAACTTTTTTTTTTGATAAATAAGTTCTCAATATTTTTTCCCTCTTAATTTCAGTAAAACCAAATACCGCCTAAAGAATTTTACCCTCGTAGATCTCTTTAAAGGGGACTATTGATTTTTGCACATCAACTCTTTGCATGCCTGCCACATGTATGCACATGTTGTATAGATTTGTGCCTCTAAATACTCAGTCTATAGATTTCCCAGATAGAAATATATGTGAAAAAGAGGAAAAAGCACACCTGGAGTGACCCTTAAGCAGTATTAACTCAAGATTTACCCTTCAGCAAGGGTTTATGGACAGTCTAAGATTAGCAATGTCCATTATGCATAATGCGCACAAGGAAATTTGCCACCATTTGATAGTTCAACCCAACATTTAGAATTTCAATTACTAGGTTTGAACTGAAATTTTACTTACAATCTTAGAGAAAGAAAAATATTCTTTATTCTTATTTTTTTCCAAAATTGATCATATTTATGCTTTTTCCTTCTCCAGGTTTCCAAATTCTCTGATCTATTCTATTCTCCAAATCTTCCTTATCTTTCTTATTTCTCTGCCACCTGTCTTCATAATTTCATCCAAAATGCCTGTATATTTTCTTCTCTAGAGGCTCAGTTTGGGAAGAGTGCAAATACCTATATGTACAGTGCAAAACATTGTCTACAGTATTTCTAGACCTTGTATTTGTACTGTACGTATTTGTATTTGCACTGTTTCCAAACTGAGCCAAAGGTTTTTCCCATTCAGCTTCAAAATCAGAACAAAACCCTAAGAATACTAAATCCAACCTGAATTTTATTTGACCATTTAAGAAATGTAATGGATCAAACTTTTGAATCATTTAATCAGGTCGATTGTTAGCGCAGAAAATGAACTTCACCCATTCAATTGCACCATGGATCTCAGCCATGCATAGATATCTATCACTACATAAACTGTATCTAGCATCAGTCAGCCAGACAAGTACTTCAGATTTTCTAAAAGAATGTTGGTGTCAAACTGCATTCTTACCAAATGCTGCTTGTGCAAGCTCCACATATCTGTTGTACCTCTTCCCTGGGACTGCTTCATGTAGCTGGACTAGAATCCAAAGAGTGTAAAGTTGCCAAAAGTAGGCTATGGTCAAGGATATTATCCCCCAGCTCCTACAGTGTATCAAAGAATGGTAATAATACATTCAGAAATTCAAATCAATTACTGGACTGTGTATCTCAAATATAAAAAGAACAGCATTAAAGCCATCTTTAAAATATGAACAAGGAGACACAAAAAATGCCAAGCACAACCTAACGAAAAATTAAAATAAACCAATGATGTTAAAGATCAACAACCACTGGCTCTGATAGACAGGCAACAGCACTAAAAGAAACCAATTAGAGTGAAGGAGATTGAAATGGGAAAGTGGTAACAGTGATGAGGTAGTATACATGTTTTATTCCTAATTCTTTTCTCTTTTTTACTTTTCAGGAGAGAGTATAGTTTGCCTTGTCTATTTTCTTTCTTATTTCTACCTTTTACAAGTATTAAAAGGATAGGAATGATCAGCATAGACCTGCAATTAGTCAAGGAAATTTGTTTCATAAATTAAGTGTTTAACCTCCAACCTAATACTATGTGCAGATCATCCTATTCGTGAATTTCTGTAATGAAAGAAAGAAGAATAGTAGAAAAGGAAAGTCCTTTAATGGTTAATATTGAACACCTGAGCTAAAAGAAGTATCTTAAAAAAAACTGCGTATCTGGCTATCTGCATTATACTAAGAAAATGTGGTCTAGAATCTAAACTGGTTATCCATACCCCTTCCCTAGATTAAGTCCCCCTCATTCAGACATGTGGAGTGATGATATAGACTATCCATTAGATAGGGAGATCCAGATGGACAGCATTCTGTCCTAATTATGATAGCTGTGGAATCTACTCTGTTCAAATCTTTCCTTGTTAACATTTGTCACTGAAAGAACAAATTTGACACTAAGGTTCAGTTTGGAAGGAGTACAAATACAGTGCAAAACCTTGTATTTTGTATCTATTTGTACTGTACATACATTTCTATTTGTACTCTTTCCAAACTGAGCCTAAACATTCATTAAAGCCTACATGGCACCTAAAATCTAAAAGCATGATATAAAAGTACTCCAACTATCCCAAGATCATCACAAAGCATTTGAACCTGATTACCAAAACGTTTTAAAATCTCTGGGAACAGACAATATATGAAAAGAAAGGTGCAAAGAGAAAAAGAAATTTGGTCATGTCAATAGAAACAGATAAATGCAAGAACAGAGCAAGAATACAAATTTTGTGGTTCAGGTGCCTACTTCCACAAGCACTATGGCTAAGATGTAAGCCACCAAGTTTCTTGTTTTCCCTTCTAATATAATCTAAAAGGCTTTGGTAGTTACTATTCTTTGCCTGTAGGAACAAAACTGATTCTCCTAATGCAAATTAATTTGCACTAGTACAAATGCAATGGAGTGCAAATGTAAAAAATGCAAATTCTTGTTTAATTTTGTTTTAGATTTTACTTTATTCTGCTTCATGTCTTAATTTACTTCATTTGTACTGCAATCAAACAAAATGAGCTAAAATTTGAAACAAAAATAGGTCAGAATTTACATTCAAATCATTTGCACTGCCATGGTTTTGCATCAGTGCAAATTTATTTGCATTACAACCAAACACAGCCTAAAACTTTTCCTTAGATAACAAAGAAACCTAATAACAGAAAGATGAACAATCACCTCACTAAAGATCTAGTTTTCATTGTTGCAAAAGATGATTATATTGATATTACTGAAGCTCTATACCTCTAGTCCTACAGAAATTAACAACTGCAGAAGCTTCCTTGCAATTAGGGAAAGCCACCCATGCAGGACATTTACATGGAATTTCACCAAATGCAATTCAGCTATGGCACAAGCCAAAGCTTAATTCAAATAGTACAGTAAATATTAAAACCAACAGTTAAGCTTGTGGCTTTCTAAGTTGACAAATGACCTTCATCTCCTATCCCTGAATCCACAATAATAGTTACCTGGGTCAAGTTTTATTTGGAAATTATGGCAAAAACATATGCCATGCATCTCACCACAAGAATATAATTTCTTCCTTGAATGATAACTCAACAATTTTTTTAGTAATTAACCCTTTGAGACATACTTTAGGAAAGGGAAGGAGAGAACAGTAGAGAATTCTCAGTATATGATATATGACAAATATCAATAAGATTTTTTAAATATAATAAATTCATTCAAAAAATGCCAAAAGCTGAGAAAATTTCTGTCACGGCCCAAAATGACCAAAACAGTAGAACCTGGGGCTGTAGGGTAAGAGCTTGGTATTAGCTTATGAATAGCAATCCATTATCCACAGAGCACAGATGACAGACCTATGGTTAGGCCCCATGATGTAGTTGGAACTTGGATGTAACAATAGCACAAAATCAGGGAGCGAAGCTGGAAAAGAAGGACCAGACATTCCATTAAGATATGAGTGGTGTGTACCGTGGCCGAAGACTAGACATCTGTTGGATTTGATGGAAAAAGGCGAAGTATGATAGGGAATTGGGAAGAAAGTGACATACCATGGCCCCATACAGTGTGGGGACACAGGAAATCACCCTTCAGTTGCAAATTCATTCCAATCTGACGGAAGAAAAATGGAGGACCCGCCCGTGGAGTGGAGAAGTATTGGTCAAAAACTGTATCCGGTGCTGTGAACTTGTGATCCGTCACACTCAAAGGAACAGAAATCTAAAGGCAATCTACAAATCCATCCACCATTTATTACAGCAATGGAAAAAAAAAAAGTAAGGTACCCTAGTAATGTCATGTGTCATATATTTGTATACCGACAAAAGGCACAATCATCTCCGGCTCCGACTCCGAGTATACCCAAATCTCATATTCCCCATCTCCACAAAAGTTCTAGCCTTCTAGCTCTGGCTGGCCGGCTGGCCGAGGACTGGTTTGCGAATCTAGCCAAAACCACCTTTTTCCTGAGAATGAGCTGCCTGCTCTATACCCGTCCATGCACTTGTATCTTACTGCCATGGTTCGGTTTCCCTCGGATTCCAAGTCCAAACAGGCCGTCGGCGACGGCCACTCACTCGTCACTGAATCACTGATGGATTGGTGGGTCATGCTCTGATCGGAACTCAGAACTCAAAGAAAGCAGAAACTCAAAGGTAGGTACCTCCATGATCTTGATGCACAGACAGATTTGATACTTGATAACAGTGACAAGTGCCAACCCATGAGATATTGAGATATCATAAAATGTAAAAACCAGGAAGAAAGCAGAAACTCAAAGGTAGGTATCTCCATGATCTTGATGCACAGACAGATTTGATACTTGATAACAGTGACAAGTGCCAACCCATGAGATATTGAGATATCATAAAATGCAAAAACCAGGAAAAGAGAGAGAGAGAGAGAGAAGAAGAAGAAGAAGAAGAAGAAAAAAAACTTGTCTTCAAACCAAATCAAATCAAAGTATCTTTGTGTAGCAAGTAATGTCAATCCAATGGGGAACCACCCAAACAACACCATGGTTATTACTTCACTCCATCTCAGATTTTAATTTCGGTTCGAAGTTCAGTCACGTCACCTCTAAAGAAAGACCAAATGACACAAGCAAATATTACCGTACACTCTCAATGCAAAACCAGGGAAAGTTATATTTTGGATAGATAGAGAGAAATAACAAGTCAAGTTACACAGGGAGAGGAGGTGATGTATCATGTACTTACCAGCCGAGGAAGGCGAAGGCAACGGGCAAGACTAGTGCCTGAAATCCGACACCGGCGTTAAGGTTGTGGAAAGCAGCGTAATGAGCATTTCCATTGCGAGATTCGGTGATGGGAAGCCATGCGTCCTGCGGGTTCAGCTTGGTGAGGTGGCCCACCTCCTCCAGGTACCCTTTCATGTTAATGAGCACCCTCTTCATCGGCGTACCGATTGGGCTCAGGAACCTCGGCGATATCAGCGATGTTGGCGTCCAAGCAGTCGATGACTTCCCCTCCTTGGACACTGGCCTCGGAGATCTCTGCCCCGATGGAGTCAGTATCTCCGGCGTCGATACACGAGGCGTCGCCGGTATCGACACCAACTCCGTGTCCGCTCTCTCCTCCATTGATTCTGTAACTTTTTTTTTTCGAATATTGGGTATTCCCTCCTTTTAATCACACAGCTGCGATGATGAAAGAGTCGCAATCAAGACTAGTCTCTCTCTCTCACACTCTCCCGGGGGGCGATGTGCTCTTTTTTGTAGCAGCAGGACTGAAGGAGCAGGAGCAGGAGTACGTGGCCTCAATTCATGAATTAATTATGGAGTTCCGTTTGTTTTTCCCTTGTCTATTCTTCTTTCTGTCTGTCTCTGTCCGATTCCTCAGTCAGACATCATCAGTGAAGTCTGTGTTTTTATGTATGTGAGTGTTAGAGAGATAGAGAGATACGAAGGGAGATTCTGAAGGCAATAGACGCATAAAGAAAGGAAGGAGGAAAAGAGAAGAAGACATGTATATAAACTCAAATCAGAAGTGAGGAAAGGACGACCATGATGAGTCACTGTGGCAGGGACAAGAGAGTGAAGTGAAGTTTTGTAGTAATGCAGTAAAACTTTAGAAACTCTACTCAGGTCTGGTGTGGTGGTGGATGAAGTCGTTCACTTGATTTTCGCATCGGTCACTCGCTTCACACTTTGCTTTCCCAAAACACCCTTTTAACAGTGATAGACTCATAAATAACTATATCTCATATACCCCCTTGCGGCCTGCCCCACCCCGGGCGTTCCATACTTCCATTCAAAGTTCAAAGGTCAAACCCATTTAATTCTTAAAGGCTGTGTTTGGTTTTAAAGATAACGAAGGGAAATGTAGGAAACCTATGCCATGATTTCTTACAAACTTTAATCCAACTAAACTGGTCTTAACCATGGTTTGTTGAACCGTAGTTGATTCGGACCGTTACACCGTTTGGCCCAAAAATCGTTCAAGCAATCAATTCGTCATTTGCCAAAAACTGTTAGTGTTTGCATCAATGCAGTTTTGGGGAAAACGGCTGCTGTTTGGTTAGTTTTTCTGTTTTGAAAAATGTTTTATCAGATTAGGTATTGGAAATCGGAAAAAGATGTAGTATGAGAAAATGCTAATTTTGTATTTTTCCGTTTTTTACTGTTGCTAGCAATGGTATGTTGATATAGCATTAAAAAAACGATTATGTGAATGTTTATGCAGCACCATTTCTGAGAAAACGCCTCTCAGAAAATGGCATTGGCTTCAAACACCGCGTTAATGACCTATTGACTTAGGTGGTTGAAGCATCAACTAGCTTAAATCTAAAGCAATGTTTCAAAAATCGACCCAGAATCAGAATCTTTTTTGCCACTGGTTTTTGAGTTGATGGTTTGACTGTCTGGTTCGAACGAATGGCCCGTTTTGATAAAACATTTAATAAAAATCAAAATAAGTTAAAATGGTCAAAAACTATTGAATGGGTTGACGATTCGACCGCCCAAATCAATGGGTCATTGACCAGTTCAACGGTTTTTGGCCAGAGTAAAATGGAATTAATTTCTTGGATTGTTTTTAGGCTGAATGGTCCAACCATCCGAATTAACAATAATTCAAAAACATTGATTTAAAAGGTAAATTGTTGAAACCTCCCCTAAAATTTAATAATTGCAATCACCTTCCTTGAACTTTTCTAATACAGTTGCAAATAGACCCCATTTGTTAGAATCCTCTAACAAGAGCCACAAAAATGTCCAAAATACCTATAAAATTATTATTGAAGGTGGTTTTTACGGAAGAAAAAAAAAACAATACAAAATTTATGAATAGCAAAAACAAGAGATTTAAAATTGCAATTTTACCTTTGAATGATTCATATGAATGGCAAATTTGAAAAATAAATCAATTTCAGAAAAGAGATTGAAAGGGTTTGAGGTAGTGATTCATATGAACAGCATGGTTGTTTTGGACATTTTCATGACTCTTTTTAGAAGATTTTACTAGAGGTGGTGAACTTGCAACTAAGGAAAAGTGATTGGAATTACCAAACTTCAGGGGAGGCTTTAGCAACAACCAGAAACTTCAAGGGAGGTTACAACAATTTAACACCTTCAAAGTTCAAAGTCCAAACCCTTTTAATTCTTTAAAGTTGTGTTTGGTTTGAAAGATAAAGAAGGGAAAGGTAGGGAAACCATGAACCTAAAGCGAACTTTGAGACAAGTAAATTGGTCTTAATCATTGTTTTTGAACATTAGTTGATCGTGACAATCAAACCATTCGGCCCAAAAATCATCCAAAAAATTGGTTTCATCTTTTGCCAAAATATGTTAACTTGGTCATTGACCCGTTGATTCAAGTGGTCGAACCATTGACTTGCTTAATCTAAATTAGGGGTGCAACTTGGGCTTTGGGCAAGCCTAGCCTAAGCCCAAACCAATCTAACCCGAAATTTTACATGAACTAAGTTTGGATTTTTGGTCCTCGGGCCCAAGAAGTCGGGCTTTTTTTATTTTTGAGGTCAGGGACAGGCCTAGCCCTTAAGTAGCCCAAACCCAACCCAACTATATTCATTCATCCATACACACATATGCATATATATGTAAATTTTGCATACATATTTGTATGTATATATAGTTGTATACATATTTATATATATACATACATATATGTATATATATGTACACAAATGCATATATACATATATAATTTTAGAACGGATTCATTGACCCATTTAAGCCCGATTCAAGAATGCATCAAATTATAGTGCAGGTTAGGCTCGGATTGGGAAGTATGAGCTTGATATCGGGCTCAGGCCTTTAAGTCCAAATTATGGTGTCGGGCCTAAATTGATCATAAACCCGACTCCACCCGCCCGAATTGTAAATAATGGATTTTGGCCATTTTATTTTAATTACTATTTTTTATTATTTATTTTTTTAAATTGCAATTGACCATCCTTTTGGACAGAATGGTCAAAGTGCTGATTAAAAAATTGATGGCCAAAGCAGTTTCGATCTAAATGTGGGTCGAATTTTAAAACATTGATATTCAAGTATTTCAACTAATGCACCCACCCCTGGCCGACGGGGGAATGGTGGTCAATCACCGATGTGAATGTATAATTTACGAGCGGAGGAGGATCAAGTTGATGGATTACATTAATTAATTAATTTAATTTTATATGTCATGACTCATGAGAGAATGTTTTGAGGCTGAAAATTGGGCTGAGCTTGGGCATATAAACAAGCGAAAGCGAGAGTCCGAGGGTCTGAGGGACGGAGCAAGCGAGCCTCATTCTTCTTCTTTTTAGTTTGTATGTTTTGATTGATTGATTGATTGATTTGGTCAAAACAGGTGTAAGTAGGTGGAGGAAAATCCGACGGTGTGGACCATACGAGACGAGGACGTACTTTCCTCAGTCAGTCAGTCCTCACGAGCGGCCCCAAAACAACTAAAGTCCCTGATGATGAGTAATAAGAAATAAGAATACTCGATCGAGTATCATTGAAAGAAGGAAAAAGGGAATAACCCTAAAACAAAATAAACTGCATGCCTCGACCCGATTACGAAACAGGAATGGACCCCACACACACATGCTGATGCACTACCATCCACCAATGAGGCAATGACCAACCCCAACCCCATCCCCATCGATTCGGATAGAATCAGTAGTTTGAAGTTTGAACTACAATAGTGATGAAGGTTAGTGATTGGGTCCGCTACGCTAGTCTGGGTACCGGGTAGCCTCGCCTCGTAACTCATTTTCCTATTCCCTTTTTTGCTTTTTTGCTTTTTTGCTTTTCTGTTTTTCACTTTTTACTTTTTTTAGAATTGTATTTACATTACACCTGATCAAGAAGTGTCAGCGGATTTCCTTCGCTTTTCTGCTGCCAACATCATTAACCATTCTTGCACGCCTCAGTGCGATCCATTTTTTAAAGCACACATTAAAACTTTCAAGCTTTAATTTAATTTAACTCCTATTATTATTTTTATTATTACTGACTTGATTATTTATTTATTTTATTTTATTCCTTAACGACGGTCTAATAATCATGCTCAATGAATCTTTAGTTAGTGCGTCGCAGGTTTTAGGATATTAATTTTTTTTCCTTTCGGCTTGGACTTGGATTGGGAGGATGGGGTCAACCAGTTATCAACATCCATCTTAATTGATTGTTGTTTTATTAATTAATTAATGGTAATTATGATCTAATTAATATTAAATCATTTATCTTTGTATTCATTTTCATTCAGGGTAAGCCTGTCAGATGCTGCTAATACTAATACTGATAATACTGTTTCTCGTTTAATTTAGATAGTGTTTGTAAGCATGGGTGCTTTTGGGACCGATTTTTAAGAAAAAATGCTCATGCTTTCAAGACTTGTTTTTCATAAAAAAAAAAAACGTTTCTACCACAGGCAATGAGCAATAGTATGCTGTTTGGTAAGGTGATTTTCATCACTGTTTTTTATGTATGTACTGACAGGTAAGCACCACAGTCAATTATTGGGAGAAACGATTCACCGATTTCGTATATCGGTGGAGTCCAGATTTTCGAGGTATACCCGATTTTTTTAATAATCGACTGAACCAAACAATAAGATACATGGGCGTCAACAAATGTCTATGTGAAACAATAGCACCGTTTTGCTTTCTAATATGATACATACAAAGTGCAGCAGGAGATCCCAATTCATTGTTTTGCTTTCTAATACGATAAATTAGCAGGGACCCATGCATTTGGATTTGTCAATAAAAAGTGAAAACAACAATAATTGACAACTATTATAAAGAAGGAGTGCAATATTGTTTAAAATAATTAATCTTTATTTTAATAATTTATTATAAAAATAATTTAAATTAGTTATATTAATAATTTTTAATAAAAATAATAAATTTCTGCTAATTACTAAATCAAATAATTATTTTTCTCCATATTATCTACCAATGTTCTATTTTATTTATTTTACTTTAATAATTATTAAACATTGCAAGTTTTTTTTATAACTATTACTTAAATATTTAAAATACTTAAATAATAGTAAATATATAAAATTAATTTATAATTATAATTAAATTAATCTAAGCCATTTACCAAAAAACGTAAATTAATGTAAACCCAAGCTTGAAGTCTTAACCTTCAATTTAGACTTGGGTTAATACTCAAACATACCCAACTTTGCACAAATTACACCTTTAAGAGTAATTTGACATTTGTAATTGGATTTAACTAAACTGATTACAGTCCATATTTTTTGGGTTTTTAATTACTTTTAAATAAAAATTCTGCTGCACTTGTCATGCAAGTGGTCAACAAGTTCAGCACAAACAGGTGCAGTGGTGATCCATGCATGTAGAAATGTCAAGGAAAAGTGAAACAACAGTAATTGATAACTATTATAAAGAAGGAAAGTAATGTTATTTCAAATAATTAATCTTTATTTTAATAATTTATTAATTTAGATTAATTATATTAATATTTTTAATAAAAATAATAAATTACTACTAATTACTTAATAAAATAAATATTTTTTTTCATATTATCTATTAGTGTTCTATTTGTATCTATTCTAT